CCTCCCCTGCAGCAGCAATAGCAGGAGCAGCGGGCCTGGCATGCCGGCGGGCCGCCCCGGCCGCTGGCCCTCCGAGTCTGGCGTCGCCATGGCCCGGTAGCCCCGCCGAGGGGCTGCCCCTTTGCCAGCTGCTGCCATGAGCGGCGGGAAGAAGAAGAGCGGCTTCCAGATCACCAGCGTCACCTCCGACTACCAGCCCAAGGAGGGCCCGCTGGCCGGAGAGGCCAAGGGGCCCCCGCCCGCCCCTGAGGAAGCAGCGGAGGCCGGGGATGGCGAGGGCACCACGGGCCCCAAAAACGGGCCTTCTGCCCCCGGCTCTCCGGGGGCGCCACCCTCTTTCCAGGGGCCCGGAGGAATGGCCGGCTCTCGCTTCCGCGTGGTCAAGCTGGACCAGGGCTCCGGAGAGCCATACAAGCGCGGCCGCTGGACTTGCCGGGACTTCTACGAGCAGGAAGCGGAGAAGCTCCCCTGGGGACGCTTTGCGGACTCGGCCCGGCACCCCCAGTCCCTGGACTCCCGCCTGGAAGTGGCCGGACTCCTGCCCAAACCGCTCAGCCTGTACAGTCCCCAGCCGCAGCGCCGGGGCGCCTGCCTGCACTCCCAGCTGGTCCTGCCCGTCCCCGGCTCCTCCTCGGGCCACCAGGCCCGCTCCCTGGGGGGCGGGTTGCCCCTGCTGGCCCACCCCAACAGGACTCCTCCCAGCCCTGTGGCCCTCCGCAGCCCCCTGGCCGTGCCCGAGCCACGGGCGCCAGCTCCTGGGGATGGCACCAAAGAACCCGCTGACCGGAGCACGCCCGCCACCGTCCCGACCCTGGTGGTGGAGGAGCATTTGCTTCCCAAGAGTGTCACCCAGCTGATCCAGAGAGACACGGAGGAACGGTGCAAGGTGAGAACTTTCTCTTCGGTGGCGTCTCCTGTGGTCCCCCCCCCCCGTCATCTGGGGCCCTTGTCTTTTCAGTCCTCAGCCAGAGGCCCAGAAGCAAGCCCACCGGGGAGGCTGAAACTCCTGGGGCCGGTGGAACCCCTTGCTGCCAGAAACAGCTCCTGCGAGGGCTCACCCTCCCCACTCTCCTGAGGGACAGAGCCACAGGGGGCTGCTGAAGGCACGAGCGGGGGGGGGGGCTGGCTGGCTGGGACACACACACACCCACACACCCTGGCCAGCCCTTCTCTCTCCTCCGATGCGGCCCCCCGCACTGGAGCCGGGCCTCGCCAGAGCGACCCCATCCCAGTCAGAGGTGCAGGGCCCGGGCTTGGACCAGAGGGCCTGGAGAGGCTGCCTGTCGGCCTGTTCTGCGGTGTGGGTTTTGGCCGGGTGCCCTTCCCTGTCTGAGGTGGCAGCCACAGTACATCCTGCAATACCAGCATTTGCTGGCGGGTGTGGGGGGGTGTTTAGAAGGAGTTGCACCCCTCCCTCTGGGACAGAACAAGGAGCCATTGACGGAGGGGACGCTGAGGAGCGAAGGGGCCGGACTCCTGGCCTTTCCTGGGGCAAGCCCCCACCTCGAAGGGGTCGGGGATGGGGAGGGGAGGGAGGGCTCCTTGGGCCTCTGTCTGCCCCCCCCCCCCGCCCCCAGCAGGCTTATTCTCCTCTTCCTAGAAGCCCGTCCCTGTTTGTGCTGGCCGGAGCACACAGAAGCGCCTTGTCTTCCCCTAGCTAGGCTGCCCTCTACGCTGGGCGGAGGAAGCACCCGTTGACCCGGCTCCTCTCCCCAGGCACAGCTGCAGGCTGTAGTCTGGCACCCCTGGGCTGGGCTGGGCTGGGGTGAGGGGAGCGCAGCCCCCTGCTGGGCCCAGAGCCCCCCCCCCCCCCCGCACTGGTTGCCAGGGAGTACCTGGCAACCCTCCCGGCCCCCTCCGGAGAGGCAAAGGCTGAGCTCCCTCTCGCCCTGTCAGGTCCTGCCCAGAGAGTCCCGCTCGCGGCCCTCGTCCCCGGCACCCCTCTTCCTCCGAGATGCCAGCCCCAGCCGGAAAACCTCAGACCCTTTCAGTGCGGCCCGCTTCAGCTTGGCACGGTCCATGTTGGGCATGGGGGTTGCCCACGACAGCGACGATGACAGGTAGGTGTGCGGGGGGGGGTGGGCAAGAGCAGCAGTGGCGATCC